CCCTAACACTTTCTTTTTTCCTTTATTGCCAATCTTTGAACTCATTCAACTCCAAGACATGAAGAGGCCTCTCTGTTCCCATTTACTGGGAAGGTCAAGTTTTATTCTGGTGTCTTGGGAAGCTTTGTTAAATTTTTGTTAATGGGTAAATCTGACTGTTTAATTCAACCACTTTCCTACAAACACAACAAGAGGGTAAAGGGTCCTGTCTGCTGCTTTGTTTCTTCTAAGTAGGCATTTAGATAATTCCTGTAAGCCTCCTATTTTCACTTTACTGCTCTAATGCTGCTAGTTTTAGTCTTTAGCACACTAGGTGGTATGCCTTTATTAGCATAAGAAAAAAACTTTAACAGGAGCTTTTACATATTACTGGGGAGGGGGTGGTTAGGGATGGGTGGGCAGCCTCTGAACCCTTTAGGGCATTTCCTTCGTAGGTGGCACTTTCTACAGTTACTGCTGCAGCTTTAAGTACCTTAAAGTTTCTCTTATTAACATCTTAGGAAATGTTAGGTTCAGAACTAAATAAAATGTTTTTGGGTGGGTTTTTGCTGGGGGAGGGCAGTGGGTGATCTTTTGATTTTATTTTTGAGGTTTTCTCTCGGGGTACCTAAGATGAACTTTATTTACAGTACTTTGATTTTGCCGGTTTTATTCTACTTTTGGTCTGCCTGGAACTATTTCCATATGATATAAAAGGCAAGTGTAGTATTCCATTACCATGTGTTTAGGGATTATTTGTTTTTAAAATCAAACATGTTGGCTGGGACTAGACTCCCTAGAATCTATCAATGGAAAAGTAATGTTTAAAATTGTATTGTAAAAATGCTTTTGGTAATTCAAAGTACAATTTTAAAAGTGCTTAAGACTGGTGTTTCCTAAATGCTTCCAGAATCTATTAAGGTAACCTGGTGCCAAGTACCATTCTTATAGATTATTATTTATATAACTGAACAGTGTTTATTTAATAAAACAAGCAGTACTTATAAATACTGGCAATAGGTTATTCTAATTGTTGAGTTAAAAATAACATTGGAATATGGGACTTGTTGCCAGTTGGGTAATTTTCATTAGGTTTTCTTTTGGTTTGGTTTGAAACCTGGAAGTGGAGTAAAATTTGACTATTTAAAATATGGCCAAAAAAAAAAATCAAGATTTAAATTTGTATTTGTACCAAAAAACTAATCATAAGTGCTAATTCTCAGCCATCTTTTATGCTTGAAAGAAGAGTAGTTGGTATTTTGTAAGTTAGCAGACTTTCCTGCCTGTGTCAGAAAATCCTATTTATGAATCCTGTCGGTATTGCTTGGTGTCTGAAAAATATCAAGTAGTACCCATATATTAATTCTTTCTAGTGTAAAAGTAAAATAATCAGAAATTGTGTCACGCTGAGTACAAAATGCAGGTTCTAGAAAAATGTTTTCCTTCATTTCAGAACATTTTTTTACTAATAATGGCTTTGAAAGAAGTGGCTTCATTTTGGGGGTGATGAAATCAGAAATTATTGGCTTGAGTCTCTTCTGTGAGAAATTTAATTTGTTTATATGAAATAAGCAACAAAAGGTTAGTTTTAGTTATGTCAGCTTCTGTTAATATTAAGAATTTTTTGTCTGCTTTACCTCAATTTGAACAAATAAGTTTGCCTGCATGCTGGACATGCTTCAGTACACGTGAAAAGCCGTGAATAATGTCTACTAGCTTTGGGAACGTGGATCTCAGAGTCACTTTAGAATTCTAAAGTGTTCCTAAATCATGTCTATAAATATCCCCAGCTTTTGAGTAGTGGGCTTATTAAAGGACACACATGTAGGACTAGTACCTACTGGCTGTTCCGTTTGGGGAAATAGAGCGACTCTTGGCCTTTGGTCATGATTTTAAAATATGTAGAAAACAACAAAGAATTGGGTGGACTCTTTCATAAACAGTGAAAGAGCATTTATCATTTGTCCCTTGAGTGTAAATTTGTTTTTTATTTCATAATTCTGCTAGCAAACAATGACAGTTAAAAAGGTGTATTATATATATTATAATTTAGAAACTTCATTTATATAATTTCTTATTCCAGGGTAAAATAATGCACTTAATAATTTGGGAATTGGGTGGAGCATTATGTTTAATTAGATTGTTGCGGAATGAATCCCTCAGAAATTAAAAAAATTGTTTAAAAGAGATCTGGTTTTTAGCTCTTGAAACCATTGTTAAATTCCAATAATTAAAATTCTTTATTTTTAAATCAGAATTGCCAATGCCTTGACTTTTGAGAAGGGTTTGTTAGAAATAGGTCCTACCTTTAAACTTTTTCTTTAAACATGGTATTGGATGTTAACTTTTACATAGTTCTGAGCACTGTTAATATCTGGAATGTATTTTGAGAGATCATTGGAAAGCTAAACATGCTAAATTTAACATGAATATACTTTTTGATTCATAAAATAAAATCAAATTTTTCAAAAAAAAAAATACAGTTGAAAGTCTCAAGAACAGGGTAGACCAAACAGAAGAAAGAATCTCACAGATCGAAGATAACACCCTCCAATTAAATAAAACAGTCACAGAGATAGAGCAGAGAAACAAGAGAAAAGAGCAAAGCTACAACAGATGTGGGATTATGTGAGAAACTAATGTGGGTAATAGGGTTACCAGAAGGGAAAGAAGACAATACTCAAGGGGTGGACAAGGTATTTGAAGATATAATAGAGGAAAATGTCCCAGGCTTTGCTCAAAATCTTGATATACAAGTTCAAGAAACTCAGAGGACCCCTGGGAGATCAATGCAAACAGGAAGACGTCACAACAAGCAGTCATCAGACTGACCAAAATATCAAGTAAGAGGCCCTTCTAAGAGCTGTAAGATGGAAGTAGCAAGTAACATACAAGTGAAAGCCAATTCGAATAA